GGCAAACCGCAAAACTCTCCTGCGACAGAAGTGGTGGGGGCAGCTGGAATTATTTCAGCTGGTACCAGCAGAAACCGGGTCAGGCCCCTCACATGCTGATCTATCGTGACAGCAGCAGGGCAGACGGGATCCCGGACCGGTTCACCGGTTCCAGCTCTGGCAACACCGGCCATTTGACCATCGCAAATCTGCAGGCCGACGATGAGGCTGACTATTACTGTGCTGACTGGGAGAGCAGCAGCAGCATGTTACACAGTGGTACATCTGGATGGGGAACTGAGACAAAAACCGGCACTCCTCCTCTCCAGGGCACTGAGCCACAACTCTGAGCTTGAAGTGCCCCTCAAGCTGTTGAGCCGCTGCACTGGGAGCGGAAGAAGCCCCTAGTTGGCCCGCTTCCTGCCCCCCTGCACAGCTTGAACCACAACCTCCGAACTGCAAGGCTGGCTCAGGGAATCAGGCTGCACCTGCAGCCTTCAAATACGAAACTTGGGCATGGCAATCCATGATGGGAATCCCAGATCATATTTGGAGAGGAACATTAATCTGAGTGGGAGATCGGGCTAGCAAGATCAAATGAGCAGATCAAACGAAGGAGAGCTGATTTGACTGGTTCCTTTTTGTAAAGGGTGCAGCTGGTAATAGTGGACAACCCAGTCAAGCAAGGAAACTTGGCATTCTTTGTCACTAGCAGAGGGAACTTGAGGATTCCGTCTTCAAGGATTCCTCACGTCCCGGTTTCTGTTCTGCATGGTAAATTCTTCCCAGCTGAGCAGCCCTGTGGATGAAGAACAGCAGTAATGGTGCTTCCCTGAGGTACATGCCATTGAAGGGGGATCTTTCCAGAGGGTACAGATAACAACGAAAACTGGGAAGGACAGATCCTGAGAGTGACCTGTAGGGGGCAATGCTGCCCCTCTCTTGGCACAGTGGGCAGGCTTGAGTTCTCGGGGCCTGAGCTCACAGATGTCCCATTTAGACCTCCTCCTCATGCTTGTGCGCATATGGCCTGTGCAAGAGGGACATGCCTTGGCTCTGTGCAGTCCGTTTCCAAGTGGCACAGGCTCCCCACTTGTTGATCTATTCTGACATCAGCAGTGGGGATGGGACCCCAAACTGGTTCACCAGTTCCCGCTCTGGGAAGACTTGCCCCATAACCATCAAAGATCTCCAGGCTGAAGGGGAGGCTGACTTACTCTGGTGCCTGGGAGAGCAGCTGGTTTCCCTGCAGGGATGGATGCAAACTCCTCTGCCCTCCCTCTCACGAGTCCTGAGCTCTCAGTCTCATATTCCCTTGAAGCTGTTTGAATCCCTGCGCAGGAGTGGATGGGATGTAACTGGGAGGCCCAGTGCCATCCTGGCTGCCCACCTGCATAGCCGAAGCTCCACAACCCTGTTGGAAAGCTGAGCGGGGAAACAGAAGGTAGTTCCTGGAAACCAAACAGATCGATCCCTCTCGGGCCTCTGCAAGGTGCAAATACGGAATTCACAGAGGCCTTTCCAGTCTGGCAAAGCCCACTTAGCGTTTTGCCCGGAATGTGGATCTGGTTGAGAAAGTGTTCTGAGATGCACCAAGGGATAGGAGAATCAGTTCTGCATCGCCCGTTTGCAAAATAAAGGCTTCACATCACATGTCAGCTCAGCACTGCCTTGAGGCGGAAGAGCAGTGGGGGCCGAGTCAGGCTGCCTGAGGTAGGGGGTCTTGCTCGGGGAGCCTCCGAATCTGTATCAGGCCCCTGCATACATTGCACATGCCTGCCTGGCTCCGCTTGCAAGCATTCCAGATGTCAGTTCAGCCACGCCGGCCTAAGGATCTGCAGTCCGTTCCCTCTGGGAAGAGTCGCTGCCCTTGTTCTACGGCTGTTGTCTGTACCCCTGCCAGGTGAATGACACTGAGAATGGGAGCCATGGGGGCACCCGAGCCCCTGCGAAGCAAGGGGGACATGCTGGGCACTGGATCAGGCATCCTGACATGAAAGAAGAGGAAGCTGAACTGTTCACATTTGGGTCAAATCATCTGATTCTTTTCTGCCTGCACAGTCTCATTTTCAAAGGAAAGAATAGCTTTGTAGAGGCTGCCTTCTATAGTAACTTTGACCTGTAGGAGGAGCTCCTGCCCAATCCATGGTGCACTTGGCAATCTCAAGTTTAGGAGCAGCAGCTGAATAAGGTCCATCTAGAGTGGGGGTGTGACGTGAAGCAGGAGGACCTCCGGGATGCCTTCATGCTCTTGGGCACCTGTCCTGCACAGCCCTGGGGGATAAAGGGCAGCTCAGCATACTTCCTGCTCTCCGCATAACGACAAGAACACACTACATACCCCCACTGAGGGATCTCCCAGGCCATTCCACTTCTGTGCAGAACTCAGTGTGAATTTCTGAAGTGGAAGCGTGAGGGCACTTCCGCAGTGATCTCATCTTATGTGCATGCTGTCAAATGGATTCCTCCTTCCGTGGAATAGAGCCCAAGCCTCGAAATATTGCATTGCTGCATCCAAAGAAGCCCATCACTGCATTTGGTTCCACACAGACGCACACTTGTATATATAGACATTGACCAGGGCAAATTGGTCACTCCACACCTCCCTGCCGACTGCCATGAAGCTAACTTCTCTCCTCGGGCTTTGAAGGAAAAATGCACGGGATGCCTCCACAGCCAGCTTCCTGGAAGATGATCACTCATCCATGCAAGTTTTCCCATTTTTTCTGTCTAGGGAACCCAGAAGCCCACATGTCGTCCTTGGCAGAGAGGTACGCCTGGCTCTGGATCGAATCAGTAATGCATGGAGTTGGAGGGGGCCATGAAAACCAAGACATTTCCTGCTCCGCAGCAGCCTTTCACAAAGACATATTCCCTCCCAACCTGGATTTGGCCAAAGGGCACCCTCCGATATTTAAACTCCCCAACCAGGAGAGCATAAGTCTCCTTGCAATCAGGTGCATTGCACCCCTTGGATGAAGGGGAGGGGCGATTGCAGGGGAGACTCCCGC